GTTAAGTTGCATTTACAACACTGTTCCAGAATAGTTCAACCCAAATATTCAGATGTGTCCAGCGCATTTTAATGAGGACTGTTTCCTGATCCTGGTAGAGTAGACTACAATGCCGGCTGTTCTGACTCACAGACTGTAAGTATGTTTTCATTTAAAGGATTTGCCACTGATGATTCAAACGTGAGTTTTGAGCAGTGTAGAGTAGCGCTTGTTGTTTGTCATTTCTCTGATCACAAATGCAGACATGGTTTTATGTTTACGCGGCGCGATGCAACGCAACACGTAAAAAGACAGTATAAGTCATTATAATCCGTAATTATGTCCCCACTGGATGCAACAAATGCCTCGTTTATAATGGGTTTTAATGTTTTTGTCCGGCCGGACAGGCCGGACAGGGCATCACAGTATGTTAAGGGGCGTAACATTTCCGTCACACGCTTGAGGTATCACAACGCACGAGCACACCTTGCTTTTCAGACCGATGAGCTTTGTAAAAATCGACGCGTTTCAGAAAGGCGGGGCATAGAGGAGAAACTATAATGTACAGTATGTGGAAAATAATGTGTTTTTTGAACCTTAAACTGCATAAACACATTTCATTACACCAAATAATGTTTTTTTTAGCAGCATCAAATGACCCCTTTAAACAGACGATCAAAATGACAAAAAGTCCCATAATAGACATTTAATTGAGGGGGTCAAAACTTTTGTACAATAACATGAGTATAAGCTGTCTAGCATTAGCAAAGCTTAACGGCTATAATAGGACAACATGCTAAAGCGTGCTAGAATCATGTTATCAATGTGCAAAATCATCCTAGAAACATGCTATCAACATGCTAAGGGCGAATTCCAAACGGCGTTTTTGCGCCCTTGAAGGGCACTTCGGGAAGGGGACGCCATTTGTAGGGACATTCCAAACGAAAGTGAACAACTGAATCCCTTCGCGAAGGGCCCTTCCAGAAGTCCGTTAGCGAAGGGAACAAGCGATGGTCACTTCACGGAAGTGATTTCCGGTTGTGATCATGTGATCTTCAGTTAGGAGATCTTGCGACGCATTTTAAAGCAAATATGTGGTTGATTTCGACACAAATGTAAGTAGAATAGGCTAATTCAATTTTAATTTATTTATCTTTATTTTAATGTAATACAAAATATTTTTCTTCAGAAATATTAAGATGGTAGTGTAAGCAAGTTTAAGCAAGTTTAGTTTGAATAAGCTTAATAGTAAATAAGACACAATTAGACAATATTTGAATAAAATAATAATAATAATAATGAGAAGAAATATATATTTGCAACAACTGATGGAGTGCTGAATGCGGCACACACACGCAGCGTTGTCAAGGTAATATTTGGTCAGTCATTCCCTTCGCCAAGGGAGTCCCAAACGCTTATACGAGACAGTAATTCCTTACACCCTTCAAAGAACACACTTCAAGGGCTCTGACCTTCGAAGGGAGTAGGGCATAGGGATGCTCACTTCCGTTTGGAATTCGCCCTAAATCTTGCCATCCATGTGTTAAATCATGCTTGAAACATATCAACATGCTAAATCATGTTGCCAACATGTTAAAATATGCTAGCGATGTGTTAAAACATGCTAGCAATGTGTAATCATGTAAGGGATATGTTAAAACATGTTAGCAACGTTCTAAATCATGCTAGCACCATCTAAAAATGCTAATGTGGCAATAAGTGGTCAGGTAGGGGAAATTACCAACACCAATGGATACAAATCGACTACGCCACCCGGAATATACCGGGACATAACCCTATACAAGGGCACACAGGTTCGTTGCCAAAGGCAGGGTGAGCATGGAGACATAGGTAAAGTATAAAAATTAAGCCATTTATTTATACACACAAAACTCACTTTCATACCACAACAGAACAATCTACTCCAAAAAGGCGTACACAAACACAGATTCGACAACTACTTGTACAAAGAAAGACAAACAAAAAAAGAAAACAAATAAAAATGAGCAGTCGTCTGCACCAACAGGAGGAACAAAATGGCCGACCAAGGCCAAATGTCTTGCTTGTCTCCCTGCTAACTCACACAAGTTAATGAATGGCTGCTCATGAATGAATAAAAGAGAACCCATACAAACCAAGTTAACCAAAATAAGACCAAGACAGACAAAGTTAAAACAGTCAACCAACAAACACTACAAACAAAGCAGCAGTGCAGTCACATCACTGATGTACATTCGTCTCCAACCAAGTTACTGGAAACCCCTGGATGTGCAGTTACACCTGCATGTAGCAAAATGCATGGTAGCTCATCACGCAAGACCACGGCCACTAGCATGCTGAAAAAGGCTTAACTGCTAAAACACAACAGGAGGATGCACCAAGCCCCATCCCTTGTTCATAATGACGTCCTTCCACAAAGGTCTAATACCAAGGATGATGCATCCCGAGTAATCAAACCCTTCCCTTTTTATATTATCAAATGCCAACACTGATAGGTTCATAGGATTTAAACCATGTTAACCAATCAAAAAGGAGTAGGGACACTGATAGGTTCACAGGCTGGCATGACATCAGCCAATCATACCTGGGCTATACCTTACCCGGCTACACTAACAATGTGCTAAATCATGCTATCAAAGTGTTAAAATGGTAGAAACATGCTACATGCTAAAACATGTTAACAATGTGTTAAATCATGCTAGAAACATGCTAGCAATGTGTTAAGTAATGTTAACAGTGTGTTAAATCATGCTAGAAACGTGCTAGCAATGTGTTAAATCATGCTAGCAATGTGTTAAGTAATGTTAACAGTGTGTTAAATCATGCTAGAAACGTGCTAGCAATGTGTTAAATCATGCTAGCAATGTGTTAAATCATGTTTACAATGTGTTAAATCATGCTAGAAACATGCTAGCAATGTGTTAAATCATGCTAGCAATGTGTTAAATCATGTTAACCACATTTTATTGATTTTGAGTAAAATCTTCAAACTTCAAGCTTTTCAAATTTATATATATATATATATATATATATAAGCCAACATCAAAGTTTGTCATCAAATGCTAGTCATCTAGTTATAGTGCTGTTATTTATTCCTGCATTATCTGTTCATGCATCACAGTTTTTCATGCATCACAGACTCTCTTTTGGGTGAATCAGTATTCAGAAATAATATTTTAATTCAAATATACCATAAATCTGGTTAACTGTGCTGGAGGCAGCAACCATTCGGGCTGCACAAAATGAAAATGTCTATAAAGTGGACCATTCAGTGATCAGGATCTGAGCGTGTTTACCCGGTTATTGACAGACTAGTTAAAGCGGTTAGTCCCTCGGCGGCGCTGCTCTCACTCACATACTGCACTGAGCTTTTCTCTTGTCTGAAAGCGTCCAATTAAAGCCTTATCTACAGCTTCAGAAACATTTTGTGCTTTAGGCGTTGAAACTCCGTTCTGTTTGTACTGCAGTCTGTTGCAGCAGTTTGTCTGACAGCTGGTTAAACAGCTGTTATTTTAGTATTACTGAGATACTATTATAGTTTTTATTTTTGTTTATTAAATTAGTTTTTATTTTTACTGTATATATATTTTTCATTTTAATTTTAAAGTTTTAGTCACTTTGTTGAGTGTTTTTGTATTTTTTCTTTTTTTTTTATATAGTTTTTTTCCCCTTTCCAGTTTTAGTTATTTTAGTACATCAAGTTAAACTAAATGAAAATGAGAAATGTTGTCTTGGCAACTATTTTCCTTAAATATTTTTTGTTACATTTTATTTAAAAAATGTTGATCACATACAGGTTTTTTTTTCTTCTTCGTAAAATAAGAATGAAGATTTTTATTCTTAGGTTTTTATATAGTTTGACATTAATTTTTATTTCAGTTTTAGTTATTTTAATATATCAGTTTAAACTAAAAGAAAATAAGAAATATTGCCTTGGCAACTAGTTTTTATATATATTATATTTTTATATATATATATTTGTCATTTACAGTCATCATGTACAGTTTTTTTTTCCACAAAATAAGAATGAAGATTTTTATTCTTAGGTTTTTATATTGTTTTATACATTTTTATTTCAGTTTTAATTATATTACTACATCAAGTAACCTAAATTAATATGAGAAATGTTGCCTTGCTGACTAGATTTTTCATATTTTGTTTTTGTTAGTTTATTTTATATATGTTTTATAAATGAAAAAAACTCAAGTACTAAAATGCCTTTTTATTTTATTTTAATTAATTAATGTTTATTAATATAACCTGTGTATATTTCATCACCAAATAAGGTTATATATAATTCATGTTATGTTGTGATGCAATAAAATAAGTAAAACATACTTAAAAAAAGCATATTTTTAATGCAAATATAGCTAACATAAAATATAAATTTTAAATGGTAAACTTAAAAAATTGAGATGTTGGCTTGGCAAATAACTTTAGTTAAAGTTGAACTACTAAAATTACTGAAGCTAAAACTGAAATAAATATTAAAAAAATTATTTTGTCATATATAGTTATATTTATTTTTTGATTGTTTTTAAAAGCAAAAATGCTACAAATGCACATATTTTGTAAGAAAGTGTGACATGCTCAAGTAAAACAGCCACAAGTTTTGAAATCAGCACCCAAAAATTATTAAGAAACTTGGATTTCATTCAGCAAATATGATGCAGCATGGTTTATAAATGAGTTTTTGAATGCACTTAAACCATTAACCTGATGAATGTGGCGGCATCACTTCATTTCGACCAGCAGAATCAGATCAATCTGTGTCAGACAGACAGAAAAGCAGATTCGCCGCACTGGGCAGAGAAGAGATTCAGGGATTAAAGGCCTCGAGGCGTGGAAGTAAAGCCCTCGTCCTTTCCGAGCGGCCCTCGCCGAATCAAAGACACATTTGATGGCTCGCACAAGCATCGGCTCCCTGAATTAAAGTGACTCTAAAGCAGTACAGAAGCCATGGAAATGGCACACATCAAACGGAGTGCAGTGTTTTAACAACGTCCCGCAGGGGCCGACTTCACACAAGCAGTAAAAACAGTTTCCAGTGCTGCACTTTTACGGACAGCGGGTTTAATTTAAACGTCTCCTCTGTGGAGGGCCTGCCGTCAGTCAGACACGCTTGTGAAACATCTCTGTGTGGGACGCCGCGCTTCTCGAGGTGAAACGCTGGACTATTTTCATAAACAGCGATAAGACGGAATGAATTTTAGAGGCGCATCACAGGGAGAATGAGCCACACGATCTCATCTTATCTCCAGGCACAGGACATCCCGAATCAGCATCTCACACAAAATCTGCAGTTTTGTGAGAGATGCTGCAATAAAAAAAATATTTAAAAAAACATAAAAGTTTTTGTGCACATAATATATAGGTGTGTGTACTGTGCATATTTATTATGTATATATAAATACACACACATGCATGTATATATTTTGGAAAAATATGTTATGTTTATATATTAAATATATTTGTATATAATATATAAATTATAGTATATAGTATATATACTATATACTATATATAGTATATAGTATATATATATAAATTATATTAATATATACATGTAAATACATGTACATATTTTCAAAATATATACTGTATGTGTGTGTATTTATATACACATAATAAATATTCAAAGTACACACATATATATTATGTAAACAAAAATGTTTATTTTGGATGCGATTAATCGTGATTAATCGTTTGACAGCACTAATATTTATTAATTGCAATAAAGCTGAAACTTAAACAATAACAATTAAATAAAAGATCTAAATGTTGGCTTGGCAACTAACTGAAATAAGTATTAAAGTACTGAAATTATTAAAACTAAAACTGAAATAAAAAATAAATTAAACCTTTTTTGTTGTTGTTGTTTTATTCTTTCTTTCCTCGGTCTGTGTAAAATTCATCACAAAATAATGATGTATTTAATTCATATTATGTTGTGAAGCAATAAAATAAATAAAATGAAACAGATAAATCATACCTAAAATGTGTATTTGTTAATTAAAATAAAGCTGACATAAAATATAAATATTAAATGGCTTAGCAACTACTAAAACTATTTTTAATTTTTTTTTTAACCTGCATAAAAGTAATCACTAAATAAGGTCATATATAAGACATGTTATGATTGTTATGATGCAATTGAATAACTAAAATAAAATAAAATAAAATAATTAATTTAATGTAAATTAAATTACATTAAATTCAATATTAATATTAAAAGGAAAACTGAAATAAGTTTAAAGTTGAAGTACTAAAATTACTAAAACTAAAACTTTTGTTTGTTTGTTTTCCTTAACCTGTATAAAATTAATTACTAAAGGTCATAAGTAATGTTATGATTATTAGGATGCAATAAAATAAATAAACAAATTGTTTTTGTTAATTGAAATTAAATAAAGATGACATAAAATAGAATATAAATATTAAATGAAAAACTGAAATAAGTTGTAGTTGAATAATATGATTATTAATATAATTGATATATTAATAATCATATTTAATATCTAATATCATACTACAATTATATATATATATATATATATATATATATATTACAATTAAATTACTAAAACTGAAATAAAAATTAAATGATAGCTAAATACAATTTCTAGAAAAAACAAAAACTAATAAAAATGACCAAATTACTAAAACTAAAATGAAAACTGGAAATATAAAAAGAAATACTAATACTTAAAAGATTAAATAATACTGTATATAAATAATAATGAAATATCACTGCCAAAATGGCAGATAAAGCAAGAGAAATGATCATAAATACTCTTTATGTTAGTTAGTACTGAAAATATCAATAAAAATAGTTTAGTCTGATTAAAACGGTATTTTTTAGCCAATATTTGTGTGCACTGTGTATGCATTATGTTTTTTAGTGTATTGTGTCATTAGTTTGGCAGCATATTAACTCGGTTGGACTTCATGGTGAGTCTTTATGAAGCATTATTCGAGTATGTTTTACAAGAACATATTTTTTTTCAGTCTTTCAACTTCAAAATGTCATGTTTAATTCAATGCATTACTGGCCATTTCTTTGTAATTACTTGTGAAATGTACTAGCAATTTCAGTGACAACAAGGCAGCTCACTAGGTTTTGTAAAGGAGATACTGATTGACTCTTGATATTGTTGTTCCTGCAGATCATAACCATGAGAGACTACGTTCCCAAGATCATGGGTCGGGAAGCGTTTGATGAGTATCTCGGGCCGTACGCGGGCTATAACGACTCTGTGAACCCTTCGGTGTCAAACGTGTTCGCCACGGCCGCGTTTCGCTTCGGTCACGTGACCATCTCACCGCGGCTCAGGAGGCTCAACGAGAGCTTCCAGGAACACCAGCGCTTCTCCTCTCTGAGCCTCCATCAGACCTTCTTCAGCCCCTGGAGACTCGTTAGAGAAGGTGCGCTCGGGCTTCAAATCAAACCAAACACTATCAGAGACTAATTACAATCTAGTTTAGCCAGACTTTTGATTATTGCTGTTTAATCTGATCCATTTTGAGATCACATTGCTAATTTATTTTGTCTTGCTTTTAAAATATAAAAATATTATATATAAATATTTATTAATGCACTAGCAGATTTGTTAACTTGTTTTTAACTTTTACACTTACAGTATAAAAATATGAAATCTGCAGTGCTGTAAGACCACGCAGTGTTGCTTCTCAAGTAATTTCACCTTGTTTAAAGAATTTTTTGATATTTTAACTGGAAAACAAGGCAAAAAGACTATGTAGAAACTTATTAAAAACTATTTTTTGCAGTGTAGAGTTTGCAAGCCAAATTCAGTAACCAGTTCTCAGTGATAAATGCTCAAAGTAGCGGTCTATA